CAGAGTCACATATATTTTGCTAGATATTAATGCTATTTTTACAGGTGATCTTTATTCTAAATATGTCAAGTGAAATGATTGACTCCATTATTATGAGCATATTGTAGCTTTTTGCAGATGTTCCTGCAAATTGTCATTAGCTTTATGGTACAGAGATGATTGCATAGCATTTATTTCATACCTCCCACCCTTTATTCACATAGTATTACAGCATATCAGTTTTATTTGTAAAATTACTGTCTCCCATGTGTAAGATGTGGATTTGGAGTACACCTGTGACTCTTCACACTAAATTCAGTGTATTACTGTAACCACTCTTATTAAAAATAAAACATAACTCAGTTTTGAATTTAACATAAACAAGATCATTATATTTGGAAAGTGTTTCAAAGCCTGCTATTCAAGCAATCTGTGACATATAAATAATGCAAGACCTTTCTCCAAACGACTTCAGTTCAAGCACAGATTCGGAAAGATGGAAACCCAAATTTACTCTGCCATCACAAAATTAAATCTATTTCTGGTTATTCAACTGAATTATGAAGCCAAGTCCTCCAGTTGTGTTCTCTATTAGCACCAACCCACACACTTCTACCCTTTGCCAACCCATGCAGAAAAGAATCTTATTTGTGAATATTCCCGGGCTTTATTCTTATATTAAAATGGATTCTTATATTAAAATGGAAGTAAATCCTAGCTAATCTAAAAAGCCCACTATTTTCTTTTAAAAGAAAGTAAGGTAGAAAATTGGTCTTTTCTTCCCTTCCCTTGACCTTCTGACCTTTGAACCGCAACCTCCTTGCCACTAAAGCGTTCAACACCTCATTTAATCTCTCCTTGCTGCATTGGCACAGCAGAGAAAAAGGAAAAGGGAAAAAAAAATAATCTGGGGACTTCATCAATTTTTCATGAATTTTCATTTAGGCCGAAGCCCCCTCTAACAGCGGTCGATAGATCAAGCTGCTGTCACATATTTAACACCTGGGGCTACAGCTGCTCTCCCTAGGGGCTACCGCTGACTCAGGCTGGATCAGAGCCTGGTGACTCAGAGCGAGGACCCCTCATGCTCTCTCTGTTGCTTACAATGGCGCCCCATTGCTGGGGACTGAAATCCTATCTATGTCTTCCAATAGTCCCACTGGAAAACTCCAGCACATTGGTTCAATCATGTCAATTCATACACTGTAAAAAACCGTGCCTTTATTTTAACAGTGAAAGTTTTCAAGAATGATTTTCAAGAATTAAATCAATTTCATAAAAATAGGATGAACTCCCTTTTCTAAATCTCCCCAGAAATTTTTGCTGTTAAGATATTTCTAATAATGCCAATCCTGGTTCAATTTTGTTTAAAAAAAAACTGCAACATATAAATAGAAAAATAAAGAAATATGTTCTACTATTTTGAATAAGATTCTTTAAATGTTTTAGGACTAGAACATTTATTTTTAATGATAGAATCATAAGACATACAAATACTACATCAGAATTTACCACAATGAAAAAAAAAAGATTCTGTTACTAGAAATAGAATTATCTTTTACTGTTTGAGGAAGGTTCTTACAAACAAAAAGAAGGAAGGGGAGGGGAGGGAAACTGACCCTAACAAAAAAACAGCACTGACTGATGCATTTAAGAAGAATTGTCTAGCCCAGACTATGCCTTACAATACTAACATCTATTTCTCCCTCAATATCCTCTGGAATAAACACTCCCTAAAATTACAAACAGTTCTTAAAGCATGTTCTGTATGGTAAGGATGTTCTTTAAGTAGCTTCTCAAAACAAAGTTCCTCACAGTTTTTTGAGATATTTTCTGTGAATATTCTATGATTTGATGGATCTACTTTTCTGATTATGCATATAAGTAGATACAAATATTACCCTTTAATTGTATGAAAATGCTTTCAACCGGCATGGATTTAAAAGCAGATTTAAATTCTGGTATCTAAATTCATTATGCTAGGGAAAGATGTTAACTGTTCCTACATTAAAAAAAAAAAAAAAAAAAAAAAAAAAGCTCTGGGACTTCAGCAACTTGTAAAAAATCACTTCAAAACCAAGGGGGAAAGTGATTACATTCAAGATGGGCCACTTTCTGTCCTCTGAATCACTACATGATCAAACTGAATTTCACTTAAGCTTTTTCTTCTATCTAATGGGTACATCAGAAGATTTTCAATGTTGGTGCTTTGAGGCCAGATGACCATGGAAGGGAAAAATGAAAGGATAAAAGAATGAATCGCAATTAATGCAATATCATCTGAATGCATAAGCGTGACCACACTTAACAGAACTTAACAGAAAATGCCAAAATATTTCTTCATAAATAATTCAAAAGTTCCAAGTGTGCGTTAGTGTGGAATGACAATATAATAAGAAAAGTAAAACAATTGTTGGTTTTTCCACTAAAATAGCAGACTCAAGCATTTTAGACCTTAGAAGTTTTTCTCTAATAGCACAATTTGAGGCCACCTACAGTCATCTAGTAATCCAAAACCGTGTTGTCAGCAAAGGACAACCACCCTGTCTCTGGTGATGAAAACAGCTTAGCTCAGTGTGTAAAGAGCAGTTTTCAACACCATTAGAGATAGCAGAAGGAAGCCCTGATTGCATGTGGCTGTCTCAGTTCCCTCAGACAGGGCCCTGGCATCCAGGCAACTCACTGCCCTTAGAAGTGTGGAAAACACGAGAATGAGGACTTAATGCTGACAACAGGCTGTCAGCAACAACTCATTTCTCAAGTGTGTACATGGCCTGTTACAGGTTTGCCCACTTTTTTCACTCCAGAAATGCTGACATTAGAAATAGTTGTTCTCTAAAAGTCACTTTAAAACTTAATTTATAGATAAAAGTTTCAAAATCAAGGAAAATTAGTCAGTTTGGGTATCTCTCTCCACAAGATTCTTTTGATACACCTCTTCTGATGTTGCCATGCATTTTTGTAACCTATGAGCATAGAACAAGAGGATCTCTAAAATTTAACAAACGAACAATGATTACATTTTGGGTTTTTCTCTTTGAAAGTACCTTCTTATAATCACAATCATGGTATGGCTCAAGGAAAGACAAAGCAGTGTTTAATTTAAGTGGTAACAGAATGCCTGCCTTAGACTGCTAAACCGTTTAACTGGAAAATTCAGTCAGTTAAATTTCAAAGCTATGAAAACAATTTAAAAATGTGATGTCAGGTGCATGTTGCTATTGCAGAAACTTTGGCTATAGTTTCAGATCTAAAGTTTCATGTTCTGTGATCCTTCTGACAATGAAACTTGGTATTATTATTTTTAAAGTCTCGTACTGTCTCACATGCAGTTCATGCATGACCTGCCATCAGTTATAGTGGTTAAAGAAATAATGCCAAAGACTGGAGATGCTGTAACAAGAGTCTCACAGCAGCCACTGAAGTAGGGATCAGTGAAAACTGATAGAACACAGAGTACCTCTGAATTCCAAAATAACCAATCACTTCAGTTTGATGACTCAAAGCATAACTTTAACAGTGTTCTGAACTTCAATGGGAGATGTCTAAATCATAACACGATTATCTAAGATCTCAAATGTTTAAGTCTTTCACGCAGGGTTTCTCAATAGATAGCTTAAAACAAAAAAACATGCATATAAACACAGGAATAATCCAGCTAAAGTTCATCTGTATTTGTACTCACCCAGCTTTCAACCTTTCTTAAACTGGTCATCTTCTCAATTCCTAAATAGCTACCTACACTTAGTAATAGAGTAACATTATGATGCCTTTATCAGCAGATATACATTTATTAGTGGCTCAAACAAACCTGCTTTTATTCTTCCTTTACAACAGTTCTTAATCTAGGTTGTGACAAGGAAAAGGCTGTGAACAGGTCTGTTCTACTCAGCTTATGCCAACATCTAACTAATTCAAGAATGTCATTTTCTGCAATTTGTGAAAAGACTGAAAACCTACGATCATGTCACAATAGCTATAAAAGTCCCAGACTGCATCAGGAATAAAGTTTGCTTTTTTCTACCTCTATTTTTTTAGGCCACCATATGTTTTTTGTGTGTTCTTAAATCCATTCTCTACCAACTAAGTGATGAAAGCTTGTGCTGAAGCCCTAATCCAGTCAAACACATTTTGCTGAAATTACTGCCAAATGAAGAACTGTGAGGGGAAAATTAAAGATCAGCAAGAGAACAGCATTTATAATTCCACTAAAACACACAATTATGCAAAGGAACACAGCTACGCTTTGTCGATACTCTGAAAAAAAAAAAATCAAGTTTTTTTTCCAACCCATACAACCAAGCAGCAAAAATTACTAAGCAAAATGTTACATTTTATATATGATGAGCTTGTTTGCTCTAAGACTGTAACGAATGTGTTTGTTAACTCTACTGGAAGCATATCATGCATGCTGGGTGGTCTCTCTGAGAACTGTGACGACTTCTCTTTTAAGACAAAGAGAATCGATAAAGAATAAGAGTGCTCTGGAGGATATGAGAAATGGCCAACAATTTCACTTGCCACTCACATAATGAATGAGGCCTATATCAAGTTTATGATAGAGGAGCACACACTGAGGTTGCCAGCACTACAGAACATGAGACACCAAGAAGCTGTCTGTTCCTGTTGAGGTAACAGATGACTAAATAAAGAGAAACAGACAGTGCACCTTATATTAAATGATAGGTATTTTTCCACATTAGTTTCAGCATAACCAACTTTAGTCATAATTTAGAAATTAGATTATTCTTTAGAGGAAGATTAGCCTTTGTCCGTGCTTGTGCCAATCATGATTATACACTGGCTAGAACTGTACTTCCATATAAATCACATTCTGTACGGTCACTGCTACTGAATAAATGCATGTATAAATGCCTTGACTAAGAGATACAGCTGATGACAAAATGCCATCCTTATCTATGCTTATCTCTCAAACCACTCAATGTGTGCAAGTGCTGGATAGCAATATAAAAGCAACTATAAAGTTTTTCGCAGTGTTAATCATATAAAACTTTACTCACATGCCACTTCCAGAGATGCATTGCGACTCACAGCTTCTCCAAGATAGTTCCTTGCTACACAAACATAACTTCCTTCATCAGGTTTACTCCTGCGTCCATGCACAATACGTAAGAAAAATAAAGATCCGCTAGGCAGCAGCATACGGTGGGAGCGAGGATCATCTTTGTCAGTTTCCACTCGCTCTCCATCTTTGTACCATTCAATAGTAGGAGTTGGCCGTCCTTCAGCCTTACAGTTCAGGGTTGTTGGTTCTCCTTTAGAGACTATCACATCTGAAGGATGCTCAACAATCCGTGGTGGAAAGTCCTCTTGGCGGAGACGGGATCCTAGAGACAAAGAAAAGGGTGGAGTGAAGGATAATTTATTTCCACTTTTGGCTTCACAAAACATTCTCACAAATTAGCCTTTCAATGTCACCAAAGAGATTACAAAGAAAAAGATAATCTGCCCACAAATTACATTGCTTGCTTGTTTGTTCGCTTTTTACCTGGTATCAGAGACTGTATCACAAACTTTCATAGCTAAAAACCTGAGTTTGTACTACAAACACATACTTCTGACTCAGGCATTAGCAAACCAATACCTTATGGAGACAAAACTTGCGGAAAATCTGTTACGCAACAACCATGACATGATCTTTTCCTTGTTGCAATAATCTTTCTGTTTACATTAACTTACAGATTTCTGTGCCCTTCCAAATTTCACTCATGCTGACCTCCTATCTTTTCATCTGTCAGATTCAATCAGATTCAACATACAGATTTTTCCAAAAGCCCTATGTCTTACTACATATTGGTTAACAATTTTTTACAATTATAATTGTATGCTTTGAGAGGAAAGGAATAGAGGTCCATTCTTCCATCTTTGGACTTAGTTTTGCTAACACTCTAGTCATTGGCATAGCAATAAGGTGCTATACCATTGTGGTACAAACTGACTCAGCAGCTACCGGATTCTGCTATCAGCATAGTAAAGGTATCATAATCCATACTGCAACTGTACACACACACACACACACACACACACACGTAAAATTACACCCAAGCACAGATGGATATAGCACAGCTGAAAGAAGTATTTCATTCTCCCATTTTACTGTCAAAAAGTCATTTAAAATCCATCAGGAGAATTTGCAGTTAAAAAGTATTCCTAGACTACAACTTCATATACAAAAATACTGAAATCACAAAGACTATAAATTTCACAGTACTAAAAGCCAAACACTGAGACATATACATATATGTATATATATTTCTCTACATATCTACCAAATTAATTCCTTATTCTGTAGGAAAAAAAAAAGTAACACCCATTAGTTGTGCAAAGAAATTCCCAACATTACAAGCAAGAACACCAAGACTAAAGTGTTTCTTAAATTTTAAAGAGACTTAAGACTGGCAGATCTGACTAAATTTTAATAAGCAGATGGTGAAAATAACAAAATTTGTAATAAGAAAATAAAAACCTAAAATATGAACTCATTTTATTACACGTAAACATTTAGCAATAATCCTCAGAGTTTCAAGCAGTACATTCTAAAGAGAACTCTTTGAAAATGTCTTTCTCCAACTAAGGATTAAAGCTTCCACCTTATATAGCCCAATTCAAAGCCACAGCTCATAAAACGACTAACACTTCCTCTTCACTAGTGATGTATATCACAAAACTAATGTTTACCTCAGCCTATCTTTATTAAGTAATCTGTGCTCAAGACAGGGCTGAGATGTGGGCAGCAAAGACTGTGCCCATCAACAAGGAGAGGCTTAGACTATATTTGGAGGGAGGGATCATACCATGCATCCCTGTGATGTCTGGGTGTACCTTCTGCTATTGACTACTGCAAGTCATTACTCTCAGCATGCATTTAAGAGAAGGGAAACAAGGTCAGGTATAAGGTGTTGCACTTGGGCTGGGGTAATCCCAGGTATTTATACAGACTAGGAGAAGAACTTGAGAAGCAGCCCTGCAGAGAAGGACTTGGGGGTCCTGGTAGACGAGAAGCTGGATATGAGCCAGCAGTGTGTGCCTGCAGCCTGGAAAACGAACTGTGTTCTGGGCTGCATTAAAAAAGAGGTGGCCAGCAGGGAGAGGGAGTACTGCCCATCTGGAGTACTGCGTTCAGGCCTGGGGCCTCCAGCACAAGAAAGATGCAGAGCTCTTGGAACAAGTCCAGAGCAGGGCTAATAAGATGATTAGAGGACTGGAGCACCTCTCCTATGAGGAAAGGTTGAGGGACTTGTTCTCCAAGCTTGTTTAGCTTGGAGAAGAGAAGGCTCTGTGAAGACCTAAGCGAGCATATAAACAGGAGGGAGAACAACTGTATACGAGGGTGGATAGTGATAGGTCAAGTGAATTCAAGGGAATGGTTTTAAACTGAGACAGAGAAGATTTAAGTTAGATATTAGGAGGAAGTTTTTCACTCAGAGGGTGGTGATGCACCACCCTGGAGGGGTGCCCTATCCCTGGAGGCAGTCAAAACCAGGCTGGATGTGTCTCCGGGCAGCCTGGTCTAATGTTTGGTGACCCTGCACATAGCAGGGGGGTTGACGCTAGATGATCATTGTGGTTCTTTTCAACCCAGGCCATTCTATGATTCTATGAAAAAATAAATACATAATAAATCAACCATGGAGTAAAATCTGAACTGAGCACCAACAGTAATTCCAAACGGATATCCTTCCAAACACAGCCAAAAACCTGACTTTACTGGCTCTTTCTCTGGCAGGTACAGTCACTGTCTACATGCCTGAAAATGACTGCTTCAGACGGTGTTTTCCTAGCTAAATTTTGATTCTTTCACTATGACTCCCCTGCCCCAGATACTGTTACAAATACCCCCTAAATTAGAAGAAACAGAAATATCATTAACCCCACGAACTAACAGACCAGAAAGTATTTATCTCCCATCTTCTGTAGTGAGAAGGAACCATGATTTATCCAAGATGACACTGAAGCAGGCTGTCTGTATTTGTATCCTGGACTATTCATGCAGTTTCCTCCTCAATTTTTCCCTCAAGGATTTCCAATACATTTATATCTCATGCATGCATACAGCATGTGAATAACCTCTAAATATAAGAGTCCCTAAGCAGTCATTACCATGATGGACAGTAACGATTTCAAATTAGTTGTTACACGCTGTTGGGCGAAAACACACCTTTGGAGAAGTCCTAAAATATCTACGATTGATTCAAAGCTGCATCTGTAAAAGGGAAAACATCAGTGCTACTCTGAATACACATAGAGTACTCCAATAATCATTGTATGTTCAAGTTCACATATTCATTGCAAATGACTGTTTACTGCACATCTCCAAAAGAGCAGATTTGAGTATATTCTATCGATTAATTCAGAGAGAAAGTTTTAGCCTTACATTTTTACCTATTATTTCAGAGCTATGAAAGTCGCTGTTAAGAAAAAGACAATCATACAAAAAAAGGCAATGTACAAGTCTATTATAGTATTCTATCTTCAGTATCAATGTTTTATTGTTCATACTTGAGCAATAACAAGAAGCAGCAACAAAAGATAAAGCGTAACACATCTCTGTTCAGCTTTTTTTCCCTGGGTTATATTTAAACCCTCACCTCATATTTTATGAAGTCTGCAACAGAATTAAAACAAAAAAAGTCTTTCTGTGATTCTACTGCAATTCTAGCATCTGCCACAACATCAGATACTCTTGCCATTAACTCTAATTCAAAAACAAGGAAAAGAACATGTGAAATTATAAAAGAATTTGATGCATTGACTTTCTATCTTGATGCTATCAAGCAGAAAAGCACAGAAAATTAATATATAATCTCATTCTCCTGTGGAACACTGCTGATCACACACCTTAGCAATGTGTGAGATTGTTTACACCTTTACCAGACAATGAAAACAATCCTAAGTCATCTTTTTCTAGCTCGAACAAAACCAGCAATAATCTCATGGTTCTTCAACATTAGCTCAACATGATAGCCTTGAAGGAGTCCCTTGTTGGGGCTCCTGATTTTTATTTATTTATTTATTTGCTGGGACCCTGCTATAGCCAAAATCAAGGTACTATATCACACATTCCATGTTCTTTCCCTCAAACAGCTTTTTTTTTTTTTTTTTTTTTTAATCCTTTTAATGGAGATAAGGTAAGGAGTGAAGCAGCATCTGCAGAGCAGCTTCTGATAACTACTCATTAAAAACCTATTAGTAGAAATGATCCAGACTTTCAGAACATAGAGCTTTGGGACAGATGTGAAATGACGTAACAATGTAGCAGTATAGTGAATGCTACTGCTGCCTTCACTATAGAAAACTTAACGTGCCTAAGGTTCTCATGGAGAATTTAATTACTAACATAGGGGAATTTAAAATTTGACAGTCCTCAGTGAGCAAACTCAGAACTACAGTAAATTATCAGGAGAAAACTGATGGAGCAATATCAATACACAGCTTCATCTCACATATTAATTTTCCTCCTTTACAGATCAAAAAATTTTCAGGTTTTTTTCTCCAAGTAAACAGGAAAGTAAGAATCCAATGCTAATTGTTTGCTCTTGTTTAACATCGGTTAATTCACCATTGCTCAACTTCAGTCTACAAGCCAGCAATGATTTAGGAGAAACAGATTATAAAGCTAATTCAGTTTAAAATAATAATAATAATTGCATTCAAAGCCATTTAGCTACTAGTAATGTTTATTTCAATTAAGTAATAAAGAGTTTCCAATTATTTTCTGGTAAAAAAAAAAAAAAAAAAAAAAAAAAAAAAAAAAAAAAAGAGTAAAATACTGAACGAGCAAAGTCTAGCATTTATCTTATTTCACTTTTGCTTTTACTGGTAGATACAAATATTTATATTTAAACACAGACTTTTTTTATATCTCCTAGAGAATATATCTGAAATTCCTAAACATAATAAAATATAAGTTAGTCCAGTATTAAGAAAAAGAAAATAAAATGTAAGTCATGAAATAAAGGTCAGGGCACTGAATATACGAAGCCTAGTCCCACACTGGAGCTGAGTGAGAGGAAGTTCCTGGAGGAAACAGTCACAAAAAGGCTACAGAAAGCTCTAGTTGCTAGATGTACAGATGCTGTACTTCCACTGAAACACATTTACCACCCAATATCCCTTCCTCTCTTATGACTTTGTGTACTTGCATACTTCCTAATCAAACTCATGGGAAGAAAGGAAAAAGTGAGGAGAGGTGACAAAAATAGACAAAAATATTCTGGAATGCAGATCA